TTCGAAAGATCTTATTTGACGTTATTTAAGGATCTTCAATTTACCGGTAGTTTTTAAAATAAACTGCATCATAAATTGCGATATTTGAAATTCCAATGATTACCCATAAAAGGATCTTTAAGAAATATCACCCCATGGTACATGTATCTTGCATAAATACCAGATTGTCCCATCAAAAGATGTATGTACCATTTTAGATCGAAATAAGAGGAAAAAACGTAACATTGTATACATTTAATGTGCATTTTTTTTTTTTTTGCTTTGACAGTTATAAGTGTCCCCAAACAAGAACCTCTGCAAGACACAAATGGTTATGCCATCCCTCAACAATCTGTATTTGTACATATCGTGCCACAGTGTCTGTCGGACACCACATTGCCATGCGTTTCCCGACTCCTGCAGGTCCCGTAAAGTGGCCACAAACATGCATCTGGTCAACATCCTTGCCCACTTTAACATTAAAGTCATGAAGTTGTCCAGCTAAATTAAATAATTTGTACCAAAATTACGAAAAACTGTGTAATGAATACCTTAAAATTTAATTTTTCATCATTAAATTAAGGTAGGATTCTTGTCACACAAAACTATTTCTTGTTTTTAAAAATTAATGAAATTTTCACAGAATCAAGAAGACAACATAACTAATTGATGGTATTAGTTAGATTAGTTTTGACCGTTTTATATTGGAGTTTATGTCAGGTCATTACCTTTTCACTGGACAGTAAGAAATGACTGCATCCAATTATGGGATAGTTCTTGTATTTCAAAACATCAAATGTTTTCTTTTTGCATAAAGAAATACTACCATATAGGGTCTATAAGATGATATTACCAAATTGACACAAATAGTTTAACAAAAATAAATTTTGCTTAATCCGAATTTTCTCTATTTTTCTGAAATTTAAGATATCTAATTTATTTTTATATGCGCACTATATTTCAATTTTCCTTATTTTCGCATATGGTAAAGAAGTCATATAGAGATACAAAATTATATAAAAACAAAAAGTTTTGGCAGTTTACTAAGAGAGTAAAAACACTTTCTGTGGATTTTTGGCTCATATCTTTACTTAGATTGGAAGCTTTCAAAAGCTAACATAAATGTAGTGTGTTTGGAAAATCAAGTTTATTTGATATATTCAAAAACTTTAGTCCCTTATCATTAATTTAGCTAACATTTGAAAAATTCTTCAAGTCTTTGATTGTGTAAAAATTATAACTAAATTCGTTGTTCTATAATAATTTTGAGAGGCAGAAAAGAAGATATTTCCATTCGCCACCATTCCGCCAAAAATGTAGTCCCTGCTAGTTTTCGAACACAATTTACCATTTCTATTTAAAGGTGTACAATTGTGATGGGGAAAGAAAAATATGGTCTTTTAAATCTCTTTCACCTAAATATATAAGACATATAAGCAAATATACATTGAATATTTCATCCACTCAGAAACCAGAGAAGAATCCTACCTTAAGAGAGAAAAAAAATCATGAATTTCCTCAAATTATGCATATTTCAAATGTAACGTCAAGCGGATTGATACGTCTGTTGACGTAAGTCATTGTGACGTAGACAAGGCAGGTTAAACGATATAAAATAGATAATTATACATTCAAATGACGCATTACAACTGTAATTAAATTTTATTTATATATAGTGATCACGTACCACAGCAGTCACTTCTGGCAAACACTTCTATTTGGCGTATTGTAAAATTCCTTCCTAGGTCAATCCGAAGCCATGGATTTTTCCCGCTGTTTGTACAGGAAAAGTCTGTTAGGAGACCATTCACTGCATTAGAAGCTGGATGATTCGGGTGTGACGAAACGTGGTAAACTGATGCCCCATAGGCAACATTTCTGAGGTCATTGTGACTGACTGAAACTTCCACTTGACAAGTAAGAAGAAAAAATACAGTAAGGAACCAGATACGCATCTTTTTATGCACTTGTGTTTCAAATAAAATGATTGAACGGTGTCTTTTATAGTGACAATAAATTATGCTATTGCATGACTTTAAACACATTTTTACCATATTTATATGTAACACAATACGTATCGCGTGACTCAACACATATTTATTTAATATTAGAACTGTCTTCAAACTGAATCAAAATGAATAACTAATAAATTTCATAAAATGTTATTTTGAATAAGGCAGTCTAGATCTACTATTTAGTATATGAACCTGTGTAAACAAAAACATCACACAGACCTTGTTTACATAACAAAGATTTGGAGCTCTAAAGCTGTCTTGTATCTAGAGAACTGACGTTCAAATTTTTGATAACCATTAGAAAGACCCTCGTTAAATATTTGTAAAAATGGAAATTTAAATTTTGAAATTTTAGCTGAAACTGTGTCCATGCCCCTTTGAATATATCTAAAATAACTGAATCAAATTACGTTGAACAATTATTTATTTCATTTTATCTGAACAAGCTTTTATAGACGTCAAACATATACTGCGGTATCACTTCCGGTTTAGTGGCATGGAGACCTGGATGAGACAATATGGAAAAAAGGTCAGAAACGGCCCGTAGTCATCAAGCAGATTGGATTTCTTAAGATGAATAAATAACACAAACGCTCCGGATACTGAATTAGTCGGAATATTTTTCTGGTCAAGCCCAGATCTATTTGCTTAGGTGGGTCCCCTCAAAACACGTTGCAATCCAGGTGTATTTTTTAGTTGAGGGTGGGGATTTTTTTTCAGGATTTTTTTTTTGACGATAAATATATATTATTATATACCTAATGTGTATCACTCAATTTTAGTGTTGATTTTACCCTATCACGTGACGTCGTGATCCGACTTTCCGGATCACCAAACTGTGGTTTTCTGAATCCATATCACCACTCTCTGAAACTGATGACGTAGTACGCAAAAACTTGACGTTATTTTTCTTGCGCGTTAAAAAGTCCCTTGTTATTATGCTTTGTTTTATAAATTTGTTTGCACACACCATTGCAGTTATGAGACTGCATCTTTCAAAAAATGATAATTCAATGCTTATATTGACATTTTTTATCCCCTTTATTTTCCGTAATTTTGATTTTTCAAATTAAAATCCCCGCCTTATCCTTCATGTAAGTTGCAATTGATGGAACAGCCGTTGGAACAGCTTTATCCAAACTTCCCGCCAGAGTTCGTTTGCTCACAAACCAAAATCCGCAAACGAACATAGTGCACAATAAAACAGATAACAATAATCAAAGTTTTATTTATTATTCAATCTAAAATGATAAACTATATTTTTGCAACAAAGAAATACAATTGAAAAGTATAACAGACATAGATTTTTCGCTTTGTTTAAACCGTAATGGCGTAGTCCCTGTATTCATACGCCAGAGAGACCTTGTGTGTTATGTGTATATATTTATCACTTGTAATTTTATAATGCTTTTTATTAGAGTCAATCAAAGTAAATGTAAATATTGACAGATGATACGTTCCTCAATACATGTGTAATATTACTATCCCAAGATTTTGTCGTTAAAGTATTGCTACTTTAATATGTTTCCTCACAAAAAAAGGGGTACAATGTACCTTACCAGGCATTTGTGTAAGATAGCAGAGGGTAATGTTTCTTATATACATGTAATCCTCATGGGAAAGAATTCATCTTACAAAACCAACTTTTTAGTGTTTTAATTTTTTTTTAAAATGATCAGAAACTGGCTAAGACATCAGGTTGTTATTGCTTGAATATTTTTCAAACATTTTAAAAATAAGCAAAGGTGGGTCCCCCCAAAACACGTTGCCATCCTGGTGGGTTTTTTTTAGTTGAGGGTGGGAAATTTTTTTTCCGGATTTTTTTTTTTTTTTTGACGATAAAAACTTCAGACTCCTGTGGTATCAAACGTTGCAATGATCACTGTCTGATAAAACATGCCAAAAATCTTGCAAGTATACGATGAAATTTATAAAAAAGAAATACCAGCCTGTTTGAAGATCGTATGATTATACATTACAAGGTTTCAGTCATCATGATGATATTTGTTAAAACTAAGCTGCTAAATGACTACTTCAGCATGCTAGAGGTTCACAGTAGCGGATTTAAGGGGAGGGCGCCCCCGCGCCCCCCCCCCCCCTAAAATTGTCAAAATTAAAGTAAATCACAGTTTCGTCTAGAAAATGTTAATATGTATACTTGGTAGACCTCATTTTTACCCTACAAAATCTCTAGAATCCAGGAGCTTCCGGGGGCTTCGTCCACTGGGCCCCCACCAGGGCTTTGCCCTGTACCCACTGGGAGCCTCAAGGCGGTCTCCAAACCCCTTGCCTACTTTTAGCGCCCCCTGCAACTTCAATTCCTGGATCCGCGCCTGGTTCACGGCGAGATACTTTAAACTTTGCGCCGCGTAACGAGGTATTTAAGGAGCGTAGGGACGTTAACCGAGGCTCTTACTTCTAGGAAAACGACATAACAATTTGTAAACATTTGTAAACACTGCACAGCTTTGAACAGCGACTCGGCCTTTCTGACGTCATAGGCTAAGGGAGATAAGCAACGTAAGTCAAAGATCATTTTCCCGATTGTGTAATTTTTATCAATTCACTGTATTGTTTCTATTTTGCATTAAAAAGCCAAACAACAATTTCAGTCTTATTTTATCACCTCAGATAAAGTAATTCTCGTATGTAACTTAATATATTCAGGTATTTGTTTCTTGTGACCTTCAATAATAATAATGTCGAATAAGTTGCGAGACATAAACAACAGATTACGCATGTGATAGTAGAATATTACATCAACAATAAGGAAAGTTGACGATGAAAAAAAACTGGTACATGTAATTTCGTTGTTTTACAAATTAATTGTTAGTTGGCCCTGATCTTCTTCTATCTGTAAAGCATCTAAGTATGAAACAGACGTGGCAGACTCCAGAGTGTCTTTAATTTTGTATAAAGTCAACATATGAATTGAAGTAACTAATATAAATCAATAAAACGTCGACTATATTAATTTTCTGAATGCCGAGTTGAAGGCCACAGCAAGAGTTTTCTTTTTCTCATGTAGAAGACTCATGTAGTAAATTCTGCTTTAAAAGAATATAAAAATCGGTCGGCTAAAAAAGGAGCCCAAGTTGTTCTCATTGAAATTCCAACATTTTATTTCGTACTAAGATTAGTACTAAACTTTCTCATAACATAGGACACTATGTACAGAACTTTACATGTATAAATATTTCTAGTCTTTTAAAAGTAAATTTATGTATATTCTTATGGGTTGATATACATGTGTTTGGACAGTTTCTTTCAATATAACACATATACACTTGCTGTGCAATGAAAATTATACAGTACAAAGTTTTCTAAGCGTGATAAAATTTCAATGATTTTTTAAAGCAGCATTTGACAAATAAATATACTTGTAATTGATATAATATACAGTCATAAATATCGTTCTTTTGTTTTTTACAGAAATTTGTATTTCAATTTAGTTTCTGTTTTGGTTTGCGATGATGCAGAAACGGATGACGTTGTTTTTAGATATTTATTTACCTTAATCTCTTTTCTTCAAAGAAACTTGATAAGGAATAGCAACATGAAATCCCCTGGACATCCCTTGTAGAGATGGAAGGGGTTTTCCAGCCTCGTTTTCAATATCATAGTTCCGTACCAGTGTCGTTAGAAAAAGGAACATTTCCATTTTACCAAGGTTTTTGGCCAGACAATCTCTGGGACCTAAAATAAAGAAATACAGTTTATAATTTGTAACATAATTGGGAAAAACAATAATTTAAAAAAATTGATATCATTTAATAAAATCATACCCATTGAAAAAGATGCATAAACCTTTTCATATCCAAACAATTCGCCTTTTTTGTTAATGAATCGTTCTGGTTTGAATTTTTCGGGTTCCGGAAATACGTCCGGATCCAAATTTACTGTACATAATGCCGCCATTAGCCAAGCAT